TATCTCTTCTATTTTTCTTTTTCTTTTTCAATCTACAATTTTATTTAAAAGACACATCTTGCTATATTAAATCTGCTCAATCTGAGCAATTAATTCAGTATCTGTAAGCAGTACACAACCACCATGGCCAGAAAGAGAAGATCCATTCGCAGCAGTGGCATTGCACACCTCGGTCCTTTCTTGTCACAGCAGATGAGCCCCATGACCAGAACTGTTCTTTTTTGGAGGGGTTGACATTTGCAGCTCATCTCTGGTAACCGTGCCCTTCTTGGTTGGCCAGGGGCCACCACAGGCAGCTTCAGGTGCTCCACTTAAAGACGGGGTGAGGAAAATGGGGAGGTGGACACTTCAGCCTAAGCTTTCTTGCCTTCCCTCCCAACCTTTGGTCACCACCTCTACCCAGGGCTGCTTCAGACGCGCAGTGCCCAGTTCCACGTGTCGTACATTGAATTACATCACTTCAACATCTGAGCCAACACCAGCAAACTACAAGACACAGTTGACACTCTGAACCCCTCCGTGCTCACCTACACAAGCCTTCAGAGCCAATGTTAGAGCCCCAAGGTTGCACCCCTTGTTCTTTTTCAAGGTCTTAAGTTCTGCCAGGTCACCCCCAAATGCTAATTTTGTTGGGACGTGTGGCTGGAACAGAAGCTGCAGCTTCTAAGATCCCAGTGTGCACAGAAACATTCACTCTGGGATCTGGGAATTAGGAGCTGGTTCTTACTTGGCTGTCTTCACTCCAGAGGTTTTATCCAAGTAGTTCTTGTGCCTAAATACCTGTAGGGACTTTGAGTTTGCTCAAGGCAAGGTTGTCCTTGGTGAGAAGCACCCCACATGCATGATGGGGAGGTGAGGAAGGGCATGGTGTCCCGCTTCTGCTGTGGGAATGAGCTTTCCTGCTGCTGAGCGGACATCTCGCCTCGTGATTGTTTACGGGAGTATCTGGTGTCCTTATGTCTGCCTGCAAACCGCCTGTGGTTGAAAGGATGACTTGCTTGTGTCGTTCCCGTCATCCCGGAACAGTTTCAGACTGCTTGCAGCTGCTTTCTCCCTCTGGGGAGCACCCCAACCAAAGAAGGTCAAGGTCTGATGCCTTTGGGGATCTTCTGTGGAAGTCAGCAGGATGCATGCACGTACCAGGCAGGCACACCTCAGCCCATAAGACTTCTTGGGAGCAGTATGGCTTCTTGACTTGCTTCTGATCCAGCACAAGTCCTTGACCTGAGACCTTCACTGAATTCCTCTTCTCCACCATGAGAGGTGGAGAGCTGTGTGTGAAGTCTTCCTTTTCACGGGATGCAGACACAAAGCTTAGAGTAGAAACAGCTCAGGGAAAGATGTGCTCAAGGCACATGCCAGTGGAAGCACAAAGACACAAAAACCAAAGCAATCACACCGTAAAAACCCATCGCTGTTGTCATCTGGGCAGGTCCCCATAGAGGAGACCCTCCTCACCACCCAGCTCCCTCTCTCGCTCAGCACTCGAGATGTGTGACCTGGATCTGTCACCACCAATCTCACCGCGCTGCCGAGATTTCTGGCGACAAGACCATCAGCAGCAATGTAGTCACGGTCCATGGAAAATCCCATAAATATGAAAAATTTATGTCCCTCGAGCGTAGCTTGAAAGGTGAGAGCGGTTAACTGTGGAAACCCTCGCTCAGGAGTGAGAAGGAAGGGCAGAAGTTGAAGGACCACCATCAAAAACTGGTGGGGCGTGTATCTATGGTGTTTTAAAGGTGATTTTCAGCAAGAGAGACCTTGTGTCCAGAGCAGGGATCTGGGAATTAGGAGCTGGGTCTTACTTGGCTGTCTTCACTCCAGAGGTTTTATCCAAGTAGATCTTGTGCCCAAATACCTGCAGGGACTTTGAGTTTGCCATGCCAGGCCTTCCATTCCCCTCGCTCTGCAGAAGTAGAGCCATTTGAAACAGTATTATGAGGAAAAGAGATGAATAATTTTCAACATTAACTGTCCTGAAGTGTGGTGTTCAGTCCAGGGTTCATCTCCTTTCTGTGATAATTAACTCTGCAATCCTGATTAGCGCTATCTCACTTAAGCCATCTTTGAACGTCTGCCTGCACATGGCCATGTCTGTGTAGCAGGGGTTGGGGTTTTTTAAGTGTACCTGTGGCTATAAACCCTCCCCAAACTGACCTGATGGCATCATGGCTCGCCCTGGACCGTTGCAGGCTGCACAACTCCAGAGTTACTACAAAGCCTAAACGTCAACTCCTGGGTGCAGCTCCTGCCCCGGGGGTGCTGCCCTACACGGTGCTGGCACAGGGTGCACTTTAAATCAATAACGACCCATGGATCCAGGCTAAACCTCCTGTGAACAGCTCAAACTGCAGAGGCAACAAGCGGAACCGAGTTCACCCCACGACACAGAGCCCTGTGCTATTATTTAAGGTTATTTTAAAATGTTATTTAAAAGTGATGGAGAGGTAGCGATGGCAGGGACACGAAAGGACCGGGCAGGCTGGTGCCATCGCTCCCTGTGCCACTATTTCCTCCTGCTACCTTAACATCAGCTTGGCTGCACTTACAGCCAGAACAGAGCATCTCTCTCCTTAAAAAAAACCCAAACAAACCCCAAACCCCTGTGAAATCAGAGTTTTCCTGCAAAATAACACCCTGCCAATACAGAACTGACCGTTTTGCTGGCTTGCAGCACGTACTTCTTGTATCATGACACTGGATTCTGATGTACAAAAGAAAATGGATTTTATTTTCCCCCTCTGCATTGCCCATAGTTGTCAGAGTCACTGCCTCTTTTTATTTGTTAAACACAGCAAATAGGAATAGATGCTTTAAAAACTCTCCTGCTTCTCGAGTCAGGATCTCAATGAGCTCTGAATAAGGAATAAAAATAAAATTGCATGAAAGGCTGAGACACAGCAGAGCATTTTAACTGGTGACGAGTGACAGGGGAAGGACTGCACACCAATAATCGGCGTTACGGGTAGATAAAGCACATCTCCCCGTGCGGGGCGTGGGGGCTGCGCTGACCACGTGCTGCAGAACTGGCGGCTCCTCTGCCTGGAGATGCCAAGCGATCCCTCAGAGCAACCATTTCCAAATGCAACAGTGGACTCGAGTAACAGATTTCAGTGTAAAAATGCACTCAGAATCACAGAATCACAGAATCACAGAACGTTAGGGATTGGAAGGGACCTCCAAAGCTCATCCAGTCCAATCCCCCTGCCAGAGCAGGAACACCCAGATGAGGTTACACAGGAAGGCGTCCAGGCGGGTTTTGAATGTCTGCAGAGAAGGAGACTCCACAACCTCTCTGGGCAGCCTGGGCCAGGGCTCTGTCACCCTCACTGAGAAGAAGTTTCTTCTCCAATTGAAGTGGAACCTCCTGTGTTCCAGTTTGTGTCCGTTACCCCTTGTCCTATCATTGTTTGTCACCGAGAAGAGCCTGGCTCCATCCTCGTGACACTCACCCTTTAAATATTTATAACCATGAATGAGGTCTCCCCTCAGTCTCCTCTTCTGCAAACTAAAGAGCCCCAGCTCCCTCAGCCGCTCCTCAGAAGGGAGATGCTCCACTCCCTTGATCATCTTTGTAGCCCTACGCTGGACTCTCTCCAGCAGTTCCTGTCCTTCTTGAACTGAGGGGCCCAGAACTGGACGCAATATTCCAAATGTGGTCTCACCAGGGCAGAGTAGAGGGGGAGGAGAACCTCTCTGCCCTACAACCACCCCTCCTGATACACCCCAGGATGCCATTGGCCTTCTTGGCCACAAGGGCACAGTGCTGGCTCATGGTCATCCTGCTGGCCACCAGGACCCCCACTCCCTTCTCTCCTTCCAAAAAAATGCATCATTTGTTCCCGCTCCGAGTTTCGAAGCATTGTGTTAAATTTTGGGTTAAATTAAAATGCTCCTGCAGGAGAGGCGTACATTTACTCCCACACTTCACATGTGTGGCTTGGTTGGATGCAGTTTTTTCCTGACTTTTTTTCAGCCTGCTGGAATATTCAAATCTTTCCTGCTGTTGGAAAAGGTTAATTTGTTTGTCTGACCACAAACAACTGGCAATGCCGTAAGCTGTTCACTATTTCCTTTTTCTGGATACCAGAAGCATTTGTGTCCCCCCCTTCTTGCAACTGGCTCTGAAGCTTTCCTCACCACTTCTTTAAACCCATCTCCAGCATTTTATTATTTATGAATAAAGGTCACCCCGTGAGGAAATGGCACATCCACTAGAAAACAATGTGCACTTTCTAAATTTGAACCGAGCCGTTTCCGTTCTTTGATTTAAGTTTAGTTACTTCCTGTGGTTTCTTGTCCTGCCGCTGCTGAATCTTTGGAGCGCCTCCAGGATAAATTGCGCTCTCTCAATGAAATGAGAAGCCGCGGCAGCAGACGGCTCAGCTGGCTCAGCCAGTAAACAGCGCTTAAAACTAAATATTAGGCCACTTCGTGTTTTGAAGGAGGGCTTAATTACCTGCACGAGGCGACGTATTGGCTCTGACCCGTGTGTGTGTGCTCGCCCCGTCCGCTCCCACGCTGGTTTGCGAGCGGCCGAGCCGCCGAGTGTGAGCTTTGATACAGCTTTGTACCCAGGTCAAGGTTCCTGCGAGCAGTGATTTTGTACTGGGTTTGTTTAGGGAAAATCCCCAAACCTTAGAGAAGTCATTTCGGGCAGTTTGGTGACAAAAATACAGAGCGGTAACCCAAAGAGGTGCTTTCCCTCAGTGAAAATGATGAGTGGGCACTTCAGGAGTCTGCAGTAACCGTACCCCTCCCAGGAGCCATACAAGGTTAGCAAAGGCAAAGTGATGCACTTTATACCTGGGCAAGTGCTCTGCCTCCCTTGGCCACAAGTTTTCATTATGAGTCCTTCTGCATGATACCCAGCCTCAGCAAAGAGCCTGGTTGCAGCGTAACTCAGTAACGTTGCACTCTTTCTCTCCCCTGCCCCTTTTCTCTCTCCTTTCCATCCCCCAGGACACATAAGAACACATTTATTCACCAGTAATCAGCCTGCGTCATCAATGGAGCCCCGGATTCCCCACAACATCACCGTTGTCCCCAACTCCGTGATGGTCCAGCCCTTGCTGGACAGCCGCATCCCCTACGGGCGGCTGCAGCACCCGCTCACCATCCTGCCCATCGACCAAATGAAGACCACTCACATAGAGAACGACTACACCGACAACCCCACCGCCTCCCAGCTGGCAGCCCAGAAGCGTCCCCGAGGCCCCCAGGAAGCGGTGGTGACCAACCAGCACCCGCAGCGCTGCGAGCAGGATGTCACCCACCCCTGGATTTCCTTCAGCGGGCGCCCCAGCTCCATCAGCAGCAGCAGCAGCACATCCTCAGACCAAAGGCTCTTGGACCACATGGCCCCGGCGCCGGTGGCGGAGCAGTCCTCCCCCAGGGCGGTCCGCATCCAGCCCAAGGTGATCAACTGCAAACCCCTGGACCTGAAGGGAGCCGTGTCTCAGGAACTGGACAAGCACTTTCTGCTGTGCGAAGCCTGCGGGAAATGCAAGTGCAAGGAGTGCGCGCTGCCCCGGACTCTGCCGTCCTGCTGGGTGTGCAACCAAGAGTGCCTCTGCTCGGCGCAGAACCTGGTCAACTACTCCACCTGCATGTGTCTCGTCAAGGGCGTCTTCTACCACTGCACCAACGAGGACGACGAGGGCACGTGTGCCGACCACCCCTGCTCCTGCTCCCACTCAAACTGCTGCGCCCGCTGGTCCTTCATGGGCGCCCTCTCGCTGGTGCTGCCCTGCTTGCTGTGCTACCTGCCCGCCACCGGCTGCGTCAAGCTGGCCCAGAGATGCTACGACCGCCTCAGCCGGCCTGGCTGCCGCTGCAAAAACACCAACAGCGTCATTTGCAAGGCGCTGCCGGAGAGCAAAGGCAGCAGGGCAGAAAAGCCCTTTTGATAGTTCGGGAGGGCGGGAGGACGCTCTGCAGAGGACGGGGGTGGCATTGGCTCTTTTTAATAACCTGTGTTCTGAGGATAACGTTGGCCTTTTGCCTTCGGAGCGAGCAGAAACAACTGTTGCCCCAAATTGAAGCACTTTGGGTTATTCAGGGTTTTGGAACTGGTCAGAATTGAAGGAGGTATCTCAATAATGTGGAGTGAAGGCTGAAAATCTATGTGTGAAGTACAGCTGCCTAAAACCTCCTGGTTCGGACAGACGGCCCCGCAGGAACCATTGACTGCTCGCTGGGCAGGCACGGCCGCACAAGCAATGCTCGTTCCCCTCTGCAGAAAGCTGCCTTCAATTCACATTCAGGGTGGGCTCCTTGGTATTTTGCTTTCCTTCCACACCCTGGTTTGCTCCCCTCAGCCTGCTGAAGGTGACAGGTAAAGCCCCTCCGCCCTCCTTCCCCTCCTGCACCCCATGAGAGGGGCTGGTTGCACACCAAGTACGTGGTTCTCAAAAGCTTTCTGTGTCCCTCAAACCAGAAGGAAAGATACCCTTGGTTAAGGGTCTTTTCACATCAACACATCGCTTTCTTTGAATGCACCTGGCCACAATGATTTGGACCCGTGTTTTAAAGCGAGAAGGTAGTGGGGTTGCTCAGGTGGTTGTACCAACACTGCGGTGTAAGCTGACGTGCAGGTTCTACTCCATGGAGTATGGAGGTACCAACACCACGTTGTAAGTTGACCCACAGTGGCAGGTTCCACTCTATGGGGTACGGGTTTTACATCCAGAACACCGGAATGGATGTAAATCCTCCCAAAGGATGTTGGTCGCATCCCCTTTCCCCAACACGAGAGCGAAGGAGATCTTAACTCACACCACAAAACTGAGATGCTCAGTCTTTGTTTCTCTAAACCTCTAAAGCTCTCTTAAGAAGTCACAAAAACCTACGTGTATGATACACATAAGCGTATTTTTATAGGGATATCGATCCAGTACCTCCTCTCCTGGAACAAGCTCTTCTTTGCTCTTTAAGTATTAAGATTTTTATTTGTTCTGTCTTGGGGATGAATGGCATTTGCGTGAAGCACAGCCCATTCCCCATCTCTATTGCTGCTGCTCAACTTTTGCCTCCTCTGTACAAAAGTGTCTCTTTTTAAATGTAGAGAATGCTTTCAATGTTTATTTTAGCGTTAACAAATACTGGGGAAAACCAGGGGAGGGAAGAGAGCGTATTTAAAGAGGGTGCCCGTGATTTTCAGTAAGTGAATTTCATCGCCTTTGTCCGTGCACTCATCCTAGGGCCGGTTCTGCATCCCCCTCAGATGCAGCGACTCCTTTTTCTTCACAACTACAAGGTGCTAAATAAAAGAAAATATCTATGTCCAAACATGCAACACTGTAATGAGTGGATAGGTACTTGTTGCATGCAGAAAACTGATCTAGTCTCTCTTTTTTCTCTTATTTTCTTTTTTAAATTAGAGGAAACTTCCTCAGTAAATGCACAGCAGTGAGAGCGAAATGTCATCTCTCGTTAGCCAAGCAATAGGCAGAGCTCATGTAGCATTTCCAGGAATCCCGGTTGCTGCGTTGCAACACGGATGCTGCGTAAGGGGTTGGCAGGAGCGTACCCATGGCAGTTCTGGTGTCTTGTGTTTTGAGGATTCGTTTAAGCTGGATGACTTGGGTTTTAGTTAAGCTTAATTGTAGATATTTATTGAATGGGAATTTAAAAAAAAAAACCAACCACGAATCTTTCTATATTTATGACATTTGCTAGCTTGTCTATGATAAATGATAGGAAAAGGGATGGGGCATCTGTCACCAGGTACCAATTCCTATAGTTTATCCTCGTGTTGACCGTATGGGGACACCAGAAAGAAGGAAGTGGGTGGCGATCCAGAGCTGTATATATTTATATATATTTTCTTGCACAAATGAGAGGCGAAAGGGTAGAAGAGGAAAACCAACCCCAAACTGGCTGAACTGTTGGTTGAATGTATAAGGTATTGTATTTAATAAGAGAAATCATTTTCCTAAGGCTAGAAAAGGCAGCAAGAGAGGTATTTACGCGCTGCCCTCCTCTGTTGGGACCATACGCATCCAAACGGCCTCCACCTATGGTTGTTTTGCCTTTTTGACCCTCTGAAGACCCGCAGGAGCAAAGCCCGTGGTTTACACACGTGGTCGCAAACACAACCCTGGCGTGGCCGCCGCCGTGCCAATCTACACTCATGTATATACACCCTTGCGTTGTACATAGTTGTAAACTATTTCTCCTCTGTTGGTTTCTTTTAATATATAAGCCCTGCTATGGTGTAAGCCGCTCCTGCGCCGACAGCCCATAAAATGTTAGAGCGGTGGTGAAGGTGGCAGCGTGACCCCCTCTCAGCCCCCATCATGGGTGAAGGCACCAGGCCCTGCCGAGAGCTCAGGAAGGCCTGAGCTCAGCCAAAATGAGGCCTCTGTCCGGCTCTGGTCAATAATGTCTTTATCCCCCTCTCTCCCTCCATCCCAACACCTCTTCCCCCATCCCCTTTGAAGGTACTTGGGTCCCCTGCCAGTCCCGAGATCCCCAGACACGGCGCCGTGTCACCTCACCCCGGCGAGGACGCGGAGGCGGCAGCTCTGGCCTTCCTCTCTGCAGGCCTCGTCGCGCCTTGCCAACTAACGAACAGCTGCTAATTAGCACAAAGCTCGGGCCGGACGTTTGCTCTCTGAGCACGGGGGGCTCGGATCGTGAAGGCAAGAGGGGAGGGCAGGTCCCCCCGGGACCACCACAGAGAAGGAGGAGGATGAGGATGGCAAAGGCTTTGATGGCTTCAATGTCACCACAGGCGCTGTCCCAGCGCCCACCGAGGACAAGGAGTAGCTACAAAATTCACATTCTTGCTCCCCAGGTGCCACCCTCAGCCTTTCGCAGCACTGGGTATTCCTCCTCCCCTCCCACACTGAGAAAGGTTTCCCCCTTCTCCTGTTGCCACCCCACCACATCTACACCCTGAGAAGTTACCACAGAAGGTTTTCTTTGTATAGAATATTTATTTTGAAGCTCTATTTTAATAGTATTTATTTTAGAAAGTCTACTATTGTAAGAGTTCTTCTGTTTGTGAAGAAAAACAAGTACTGATGAATGTACTGATCTAGA